ATCCTTGCTGATAGTGGAATTTGCCAGACCTGCATCCACAAGACAAACAAGGCCCATATAAAACGGTCTTATGGAGAACATTATGCTTCCTTCACATGTCCATAGTATCTCATCTGCTCTACCATGTGGAACATACGTCTCATGACATCGTCTCATTATTTGCGATGAAGTGCTCATCTTCGGTGTTGTTAAGGTCCCTCTGAAAGAGGAGGCAGTGAGGACTATGATATCCTTGATGCCGTTACCCTCTATGATATCTGCAATAGTTGCTTGTAGTTGGACTCTATCCATTGCTGACTGGGGAGGACAAAGTGGTCAATCACCATGTCATACATTGTGTTAAATCCTGATGCGAGATGATGAGATGTACATCCCAATGAGTATCCCACTTGAACTCCCCTCTCACCGTCTTTGAAATTCTGACAACCTAGCTGCTCTCCTTGGACTTGCTAGACTCCAAAATTCTGGATGTATGCCTATATTTCCTTAATGTTTAGGTCCTAACAGTTGCTTTGAGTAGGAAAGCAGGTTAGACTGATGATGTGTCTAAAAAGAAACCCCATCCCTGCTTTGGCATATTTTTTGAATGTCATATTTATGTCCTTGTTATGCACCAAAAACATTTACTTTACTTTTGGGATCCTCACGTTTTCGAGAGAACGGTATTTTTTTGATTATGTGCCAAAAACATTAGGTTTTGGCATATTTGAGGAGATTCCTTTGGCTTTTCCCTACAAATTGCAGACACCATAACTTTTACCATTTTACTCTGTAGCTTATGCCTTATAATGATAAGTTTCTAGGCTTTATTCGAAGTTGTATTCTGACTTGCCTTTTTTTTAATTTTACATGTGCGACATCATACTAAACTACTGCTACTCATCAACCGTTTGTTGGGATGGTTCTGAGGTGGTTCTTTTGTGAGCTTCATATGTTAGTGTCTTAAGAAAGTAGGACTATGTAACCCGGGCAAGTGTATACCGATTAAAATTTTTCTTTCTTTTCTTTATTTTCACCACCCAAAAGACTTACAAGAATCCAAATACATTATGAGAAATAATAAAAACTCAAAGAGTCCCAAGGACTCTCATTTGCCATCAAAACAAGATTACATTCATAACGTGAATCTGAAAATTACATAAAAGATGCAATTATATCTAGAAAGCATGAAACAAGAAAATATCCCATACCGTGCCTCAGGTACCCCCAAGGACTTCGTACACCGCACACCAGGTCTTCTCCACCAATGGCGCACAAGATCTAGGTTCAAGAATTTGTCTCACAACTTGGCAACTTAGGCAAAACCAGCAAAGAGCATGACATGGGTTAAACTAGACCAAGGCTCAACACATGAGCATAAGGTTTGTACCATGGGCTAGGCTTTGTGGCTTGGGCGTGCCACCCCTTAGGGTTTCTTTTCTTTTCTAAACTGTAATTTTAGAGAGAGAAATTGAGAGAGATCGGAGAGGGGTGTGCCACCCCTTAGGCTGAGAGAGAGAGAGAGAGAGAGAGAGAGAGAGAGAGAGAGAGAGAGAGAGAGAGAGAGAGAGAGTAGTAGTAGAGTAGTAGTAGTAGTACGTACGTACGTACGTACGTACGTAACGTACGTAAGTTAACGTTAGTTACGTTAGTTACGTTACGTTACGT